AATAGAGTCGGACAGTACAGAGTAAGGTAGAGTCGGACAGTACAGAGTAAGGTAGAGTAGGACAGGACAGAGTAAGGTAGAGTAGGACAGTACAGAGTAGGGTAGTATATGACAACACAAAGTAGGGTAGAGAATGAGAGAGTAAACACACAGAAAGAAACACAGTGTAGGAAAGAGTAGGACAGTGGAGAGTGGAATAGAGTCGGACAGTACAGTGTAGGAAAGAGTAGGACAGGACAGAGTAAGGTAGAGTAGGACAGTACAGAGTAGGGTAGTATATGACAATACAAAGTAGGGTAGAGAATGAGAGAGTAAACACACAGAAAGAAACACAGTGTAGGAAAGAGTAGGACAGTGGAGAGTGGAATAGAGTCGGACAGTACAGAGTGAGGTAGAGTAGGACAGTACAGAGTAGGGTAGTATATGACAATACAAAGTAGGGTAGAGAATGAGAGAGTAAACACACAGAAAGAAACACAGTGTAGGAAAGAGTAGGACAGTGGAGAGTGGAATAGAGTAGGACAGTACAGTGTAGGAAAGAGTAGGACAGTACAGAGTAAGGTAGAGTAGGACAGTACAGAGTAGGGTAGAGTAGGACAGTACAGAGTAGGGTAGTATATGACAATACAAAGTAGGGTAGAGAATGAGAGAGTATACACACAGAAAGAAACACAGTGTAGGAAAGAGTAGGACAGTGGAGAGTGGAATAGAGTCGGACAGTACAGAGTAAGGTAGAGTAGGACAGTACAGAGTAGGGTAGTATATGATAATACAAAGTAGGGTAGAGAATGAGAGAGTAAACACACAGAAAGAAACACTGTGTAGGAAAGAGTAGGACAGTGGAGAGTGGAATAGAGTAGGACAGTACAGTGTAGGAAAGAGTAGGACAGTACAGAGTAGGGTAGAGTAGGACAGTACAGAGTAAGGTAGAGTAGGGCAGTACAGAGTAGGGTAGAGTAGGACAGTAAATAGTAGGGTAGTATATGACAATACAAAGTAGGGTAGAGAATGAGAGAGTAAACACACAGAAAGAAACACAGTGTAGGAAAGAGTAGGACAGTGGAGAGTGGAATAGAGTCGGACAGTACAGAGTAAGGTAGAGTAGGACAGTACAGAGTAGAGTAGAGTAGGACAGTACAGAGTAGGGTAGAGTAGTACAGTACAGAGTAGGGTAGAGTAGAACAGTACAGAGTAGGGTAGAGTAGGACAGTACAGAGGAGGGTAGAGTAGGACAGTAGGGAAGAGAGTAGGACAGTACAGAGTAGGGTAGAGTAGGGCAGTACAGAGTAGGGTAGAGTAGGACAGTACAGAGTAGGGTAGAGTAGAACAGTACAGGGAAGGGTATAGTGGAACAGTTCAGAGGGGTAGGGGATAGGGAGCTCTGAACTGGGCAAGCTGACAGGAAGCTGACTGGTGACAGACGCAGACAAACACATCATTTCCCTTTGCCCTTTGTCTGATACCAGGGGATGTCAGCAGGGGCATGGCTGGCAGGGGGATATCAGTCACAGATGACTGAACTCCAGGCTGCAGGAGTCTTGGCTGTGGGTAACCAGCAACCAGGGAGAAGTTAACAGGATTACCAGCTGGTATCCAGATAGTGTTGTTATCTACCAGACATCTGGTCCCATCTCCCATCCCCACTGTCGGCAACCCGGAGGGCAAGCGGGTCAGAGGCACTGTAATAAGTATTTGTACAAATGGAGAAATAGAAATACCAATATTATATTAAAATGTGAGAACAGCAATAACGCTACAAGAAGTAAATGAATCTAGTGGTCGCTAGCTAGATATCACCATTACCATAATATTTTCCGCAGAACCTACATTATCATAAGTGTGTGTTTAGCAGGTTGTTTAATTCTTGTAATGACATTCACTCTAAATATTTCATATCAAATGGTAATACAGTCACAGTCACTGTCTTCATAAGTCACATGTATGTGTCAAGTCGGAGATGTTCAATCAATAACCCTGCTTTTTACAGAAACGATAAAAATAATGATCCAGGTCAAATCTACTGCCCCAGGGTAGATTTAGTAGGCCTAGACGGCTATATACTAAATCTAACCCGACTCCCTTCATCAACAGAGCAATTTCCGATTGCTGCTATCTCAGCCTAGGGTAAATCCTGTTGTAAGCCTATTTCATGCAGTAATTTATAATTTATTTACAATAAAGAGTGCCATACTGATTACGACTTGTCTCAACTAGACCTAACGTACTAGGCCCTATTGCAGCTAGGCCAAGTGGCAGGGGAATTATTCCGTAATGTCTTGTAATGTAAATACCTATTCTTATATAGCAACATCACAAATTAAAACATGGTTATCAAATACCTCCTGTACTGGGATTCATGATTTTCTCCACCTCTGCAACTCGCACAAACTCTCAAAGTCGTAAACGATGCGCAACACTTGTCCAGGCCCCACTCCAGTGCAATCTGTCAAAATGGCGGACACACAGGAATATAAGGCAAGCGTTGTCATGACGCCACAAGTATCGGTAACACTGCGCATGTGAGCACTTTCGACATTTCTTGACGTCTGTCTGCCGACTACCTATGAAAGAGTTATTTAATGTTAACTATCACTTCGGAAGAAAAAAAGCCGTTCATGTGATGAAGGTTAATGTCGAGGTCATTTCTAAGGGACGGTACTCACAATAACAGCACATAATAAGAGTTACCCTCCCTGAATGTGATTTTACCACCGCTTCTATTACTATCCTCAGTATTATTTACTGAATTCGAAGCAGTACATAATTTATTAATTTGTATATCCCTGTACCCTACTTGGTGAGGACCGAGCAGTGCTGAGGGAGTGGGATCTTTCTACACCATTTACTACCTTCTGCAATGTTTCCCAGTGTATCTAGTAGTCACTCTTATACTATGATTTTAGTTGTGTGGTGCATTAGTAAATATACGCGGCTCTATGAAAAGTGGAGGCACGGGTGCCCCAGTCGTCTCCTTGGGCAGCCAGAAACCTATCATTGTTGGCTCGAATCCCGGTTCGCCCCGATTATGTTTGTAGGTTTCTCTACATCATTCCTGTGTTTGTGGGTTTCACCGAAGTGGTAAACGTCTGTGACCTGCTCACTTCGGGCTTTCCTCCCACGTTAAACCGACACACCGTGATATAACTGGAATACTGTCCAATTTGCGTTAAACCCAAGTCACCCACTCACTCACTAAATGGACAGTACTCATTCATGATTTCAGCAAACAACTTAAGAGCAGAGATCAATCGATCAAACCTAGTTCAATTCACAAGGATAACATTTATTTATTTTTAATCACAGAATCGCTTAACTAAGGATCTGTTTGTCGCCATGATAATATATCGCCACGTACATTGTGAGCTTTGTTTATTTCATTATTTGTGTAACTGTAACTATTACCATACTTTACACGATACAAACACATCTAAATCTACGTCAAAGAATAATATTCAGATGTAACACCTGCTTTCATCGACAAAGATAGTCACAACGCTTTGCATATTGAAATGTGTGTAAACACTGATGTGAAACAAATCTCATAAACCCATAAACTTCATAACGAACAGTCGGTGCTTGTATCGGCAGACACTAACCTTGATTTCAACGGAAGCACGAGGTGAGGTGAGGTGAAATGGGGTTAAACGTCGCGTCCAAGATTATTGCACTTATATAGCGACGTGCATGTACGTGTGTGTGTGTTTGTGTGGCTGCTTGTACTAGTCCGGACTGATGCCGATTTATAGTGCTAGCTCACTGAGATACCATGCCGCAGTTTAACATGAGCTCCGAGCCGACCAGTCCTTGTTTTAGCCCCTTAATGCCGAGCGCCAGACAGGGTAACAACAAGTACCATCTTTTAACGTCTTTTGGTATGACGCGGCCGGGGATCGAACCCCGGACCTTCCGCTCGCCGGGCATATTTTACTCCAACGGTTAATAAAAAATCAATCTATAACAAAATATTCTTTTCCAACTAAAAACACAGTTATTCGAGATACGGCTATAAGTCTCCTTTAAACCTCGGTGCGACACGCCTAACGTACACAGTCCCAGATCACCTCTTGTACAGTGCTGAAGCTGTTGTGTATCAAACAAGTAGAACACTGAGCAATGAGTGACAATGGTAGATATAATCATGGCAATTGGGTTGTAGGCATTCACTGTAGAAGTAGGCGGAGACTTCGCGTTCGTCAAACTGGAAAATTTCGAATTGATATTATATTTTTTCAAATCAAAGATTCTGAATTACTTCGACAGATTCAAATATATTTCAACCAATACTTTTGCCAACCGTCATAAACCTAACACGTGCCCTTCCACAGTTACCGGAAGCTAGAGAGAGATAACAAGTATATAATACCGTTAACTTACATGAAACTATAAACCTTAAAAAAACAAGATGGAAGCGCTCGTAAATCTCCAACCCTGTCCTACCATAACCCGCAATAACCCGCAAACAGATTACGAAATACAAACTGAAAGGAAACTTCTCTCAAAAGCAACTACGTCACTGTCAACAGAACGTACAGAGTGTTGCGTTCAAATGACACGAGTGTCTTAGCCAGGCACGTGTTTACAACTTCGGTGTCACTTAATTTAAAAACAACGTGCAACGTACCTAGTTACGATGCTGTTATATGAGTGGATCATATTAACCTGGTAGGTGCCATCCTTTGTATATTTATCGGGTTGGCACGATCATGTTTCTAGGATTTATAGCACCAAAGTAGTAAACGTGTAAGACCTGCATCCCCGCGGGCATTCACTCACTCACTCCGATCCTCGGTCGGTCCGTACGATAAACATGGGGCGTACATGGGATTTATTCTGCCCCGGAATCCCAACAGGAGTCACTTGAAGTGAACAAGAAGGTTCTATCGTATGAAGACACGAACAAAATAGCGGAGTTAAACCCAACTCGCCAACTCACATGCCAAGTGATATCTCAGGATGCAAAAGTTTCTTTCTCTTTGTTGACACATGTGAACAGCCAAATGTTTATGTTATTGTTTATTCAATTCTAAATTTGACCAGAAATTGATTATTGACAATATATATAACATTCACAATTATAAGTACTTTATTCTGCAAACCTACTCTCTGCAACATTTGCAAGCCCAGTCACAACTGTAACACATGATTGTGTACTTAATAAGTCACTTTGAAAATAAACAATATAAATTGAAAAATGGCACCGGTGAGACTGTTTCACGAGACACCTGATGTTATGATGGCTTGTGCAAAATATAGAATATATATATATAATTATGTTTAGATTACCAGTAGATTCGTTGAGACCGTCGTTGTTGATGAAAACGTGGTAATAGATACATGATTTAACAATATGATTGTAATGTAAAATAGTGTCAAATACAATAAGCATTAAGTTCAATTTCAATTCCCATTGAACTATCTCAAAGCTCAGAAACGGACGTACAAGAGGTCATCAGTACTCTTCCTCGTCTTCACCTTGTTCCTCCATCGAGTCGACTCCAACCTCCTCGTAGTCCTTCTCCAGAGCAGCCAAGTCTTCACGGGCCTCTGAGAACTCTCCCTCCTCCATACCCTCACCCACGTACCAGTGGACGAAGGCACGCTTGGCGTACATCAGGTCGAACTTGTGGTCAAGACGAGCCCAGGCCTCGGCGATGGCTGTTGTGTTTGCCAACATGCAGACGGCTCTCTGGACCTTGGCCAGGTCACCACCGGGGACAACAGTTGGTGGTTGGTAGTTGATGCCGACCTTGAACCCAGTGGGGCACCAGTCGACAAACTGGATGGTTCTCTTTGTTTTAATTGCTGCGACTGCAGCGTTGACGTCCTTCGGGACGACATCACCACGGTAGAGAAGACAACAGGCCATGTACTTTCCGTGACGGGGGTCACATTTAACCATCTGGTTGGCGGGTTCGAAGCAGGAAGTTGTTAATTCTCCAACTGTCAACTGCTCATGGTAGGCCTTCTCCGCAGAGATGACTGGGGCATAGTTAGCAAGAGGAAAGTGGATACGAGGGTAGGGCACCAAGTTGGTCTGGAACTCGGTCAGATCCACGTTCAGGGCTCCATCGAAACGAAGAGAAGCAGTGATGGAGCTGACGATTTGACCAATCAGGCGGTTCAGGTTGGTATAGGTTGGTCTGGCAATGTCAAGATTACGCTTGCAGATGTCGTAGATGGCCTCGTTGTCGACCATGAAAGAGACATCAGAGTGTTCCAGGGTGGTGTGGGTGGTCAGGATGGAGTTGTAGGGCTCCACCACGGCGGTAGACACCTGCGGGGCGGGATAGATCGAAAACTCCAGCTTCGACTTCTTTCCATAGTCTACACTCAGTCGTTCCAGAAGAAGGGAACAAAATCCAGATCCCGTGCCACCACCGAAGCTGTGGAAGATGAGGAAACCCTGAAGTCCACTACACTGGTCAGCTAATTTCCTCAGACGGTCAAGGACGAGGTCGACGATTTCCTTTCCGATGGTGTAGTGGCCACGGGCGTAGTTGTTGGCGGCGTCCTCCTTGCCGGTGATCAGCTGCTCGGGGTGGAACAGCTGGCGATAGGTACCAGTACGGATTTCATCTGTTTATAAAACAAATGACAAAAATGACGTTGGGGTGTATAAACTCTGAAGGGTGTGTCAAGCATGGTTATGTAAAAATAAACTGTTCTTCTAATGAATTACACGGGCACGGGTGGCCCAGTCGTCTATAGCGCCGCGATTCGCTGTGCAGAGTTGCGTCCCTTGAGCACGCCGAAACCTATGATTGTAGGTTCGAATCCCTGTTCGACCCGATTATGTTTCTAGGTTTGTCAGCACCATACCCATGCTCAAGGGTTTCACAGTAGTGGTACACGTCTGAGACCTGCATCGCTTCGGGCTTTCCTCACACATTAAGCTGACACGCCGCGATCTAACTTGAATAATGCGGCTCACTCACTCTTATGAATTACAGTTTTTCATGTTACATTGATCACTTAAACCTACCGACAACAGTAGGTTCGAGGTCGACGAAGACAGCCCTGGGGACGTGTTTCCCTGCTCCAGTCTCGCTGAAGAAAGTGTTGAAGGAGTCGTCTCCGTAACCAATCGTCTTGTCTGAGGGCATCTGACCATCAGGCTGGATGCCGTGCTCCAGACAATACAACTCCCAGCATGCATTGCCCATCTGACATCCGGCCTGGCCGACGTGGACGGAAAGACATTCCCTCTGCAACCAACAAATGATGCATTGATTTCAATAATTGCTACTTTTTAACTTCCTAAATCACAGACGTAAATGCTGATTGAAAAACAGCAACAAAGGTAGCATTATTCCACGTGGAGTACCTACAAAGTGAATCTTTATATGACTCAAATACCAACATGCCTATGAGACGCAACACTTGCAACTTGCAACATGTAAACTTGATAACGGGTGGCCCGTCTAAGGTGCCGCAATTCGCCGTGCAGAGTTGAAACCTATAGTTCGTGGGTTCGAATCTGAGTTCACCCCTGTTATGTTTCTAGGTTTGTCAGCACCATACCCGTGCTCTAGGGTTTCACCGAAGTGGTAAACGTCTGAGACCTGCACCACTTCGGGCTTTCCTCCCACATTAAGCTGACACGCCGTGATATAACTCGAATATTGTTAAAAGCGGCGTTAAACCAAACTAACTCACTCACTCACTCACTCATATTTAAAGTGCCTTAATTTCTACACACTGTATTTCGATGTATGCAAATGAATGCAGGTACTTTTAAGATACGTCGATGAATTATTATAAATTTGTATAAGGTATTGAATTCAGCTCTTTTTGTAAACTTCATGTAATCAGTGAATGAGATCGATGTACATTATGACAGACATGTTTAAAGTTTTTTTATACCGGTACAAGTATTTGCATCGTTTCTAATTTGATATTCATATACCATATGGATTATTACTGTGTGTGACTAATCAATACTTTCAATGTACTTCGACAAGTGCAGTGTTGAAATGAAAAGTAGTCATTGATTTAATGGCACCAGTTAGCCTGTGTTGTCTAGGTCAATGTAGAGACAGAGCATCCTTTCTCTGGTAGCCTTGGTGATGGTACTTCAGAGCATGTTTATTGGTTGCTATGGTAATCATACACAAACGGAACAATGTTATGCGCGCCGTCGTGAGGGAAGCTTGTCAAAAGTACAATTCAATGATGACATGGGATCTTTATCTTGAAAGACCTAAGTGACAAAAGTTTGTATTTCACTCTATAGAGCATTCTAAATTTTACATTCCTGCAAACGAACAGCTATGATGTTTACATGTACTTACATGTGATCATGGAAATATCTGTATTCTACACAGCTATATATATATAAAAAATGTAAGCAGGTTTCGAATATTCTTATAATAACATAATAACTCTGTATCTTCCAAAGAAGATAATGTATAAGAAATATAAAATATCTAAATTAATATGGAAACTTAGGACATAGATTGAAGTGTAATACTGCTAGCTAATACCGATACATATTGTAATACTGTAAATTTGAATTGACTTTATTATACGCCGAAGTGGGAGGGGATAGAGGAATGTCCGTCACGTTCATTTCCGAAGCAGAACTCAAAAAACATTTAATATTTCTTAACCAAACTTTGTACACGTATTCCTTAGGTGTTGAACTGTTGCCTTTTGTCACTTGGAGATTTTAAACATTTTTCATTTTTCTGGTATCCATTGAAACAAGTTGGACTTTTCTGGGTAGGGTTCTTTTCCGGGGTATAACTTGGAAACTATGACATATTTGGTCACGAAACTTGGTATGTGTATAGACAATGGGATGAATTGGAGTAATTTGCCAATCAGGGCATTTGATATTTTTCATTTTTCCGTTTTTCATGAAATATGTCAGACCTAGAGCATGTTTGGGTAATGTTTCATCTGGCTTGCTATTCAGAAACAATCTCGCATTTTTGTATGAATGTTTTCATATACACAGGTCAAAGAACCAAACAGTACCTTCTCCTTATATGGATATACTTCCTAGTCTTTTAATATCTCCCCCGTTAATGAATACATTAGCTGAATCTTTATCAAAACAATGCGGACTATTTAAATGGATACGAAAACACTCTTGGCGGGGATATAAGTATTTTATGCTTGTTGAATATTACTTTATAAATAAAAACAATTCTTAATAAATCAATGTAATGTCGATAATACGTTTTTTTCAATCTTATATGACATAAGTACTTACCATTATTCTGATGTGGTGAAAGTTGGAGAAGTTATATGGTTCACAAGCGCTCGTTAAGACCTTGATTCGGCGCGACACGAGAGCAAATGATAGGAAAGCTAGAACATCGGTGTTTTTAAAGAATTTTGTTCCGTCGTCAACATACAGCTGTTGTTGTGTGACTGTACCTAGTTACCAGACAATGGATTTTTATTTATTCAAACAAAACTACACACGTCCATCCCTGTGGTTAGACCAATAACGCCACTCTTGCTTCCAGCGTCATGTTGTTGTAGTATTGACTTCACTCGCTACAACAGCGATGGACAATCAGAAAACTTTCTGCGTGCAGTAAAGTGTGTATTGAAACCTTGGCGACACTGGTTCATTAAAATGCAGAAATGCAAATGGACCATTAGTATCGTTGTTGCCAAGTGCATAAATATGCATGTGAATTTTGTGAATTGCAAGCGGTGTTATTACCTTTGAATATATTTTCAGACACAAATTGCTATATTTGCATCTGAACGAACCTAGTGGCACCTTTATGATAATTTTGCCATATTTAATTCGTAATCGCAAATGAGTATTTGAGACAGTGCAAAGAGGTTACTTTTTCAAGAGAATCACTGTTTGGATATGAAAACATCCACTGTGCGGCTCCTCAGTGGTTGATCGGGACCTACACGGTATTTCCTTCTGTTGTGGGGACTCAAAGGAACCAATTTGAGATTCAAACATGGATAAGTGGTCACACGTTGGCATCAATGATGGGTTTGCGACAGACACATCGCTGCCCCTCACGACACATGGACACCGGCCGCACCAGGCCATCCACAACTCTGCCATCTGGAACCCTACTGTACCAAACTACATCATCTACCACATTGACGCCCCGCCACGTCAAATATATCAGCATCACAGCAAACATTATCACCTCACACGCCAAAACATCAAATCACTTCACCTAACACACCAACACCGCCAAACCCCATCAGCTAACACAAAACAACCTCAAATCCCATCGCCTCACACACCACCACGCCAAACCCCATCACCTCACACACCACAACAACAAGTCCCATCACCTAACACACCACCACGCCAAACTCCATCACCTCACACACCACAACAACAAGTCCCATCACCTAGCACACCACCACGCCAAACCCCATCACCTCACACACCACCACATCAAGACCCATCACCTAACACGCCACCACGCGAAACCCCATCACCTCACACACCAACACACCAAGTCCCATCACCTAACACACCACCACGCCAAACCCCATCACCTCAAACACCACAACACCAAGCCCCATCACCTAGCACACCACCACGCCAAACCCCATCACCTCACACACCACCACATCAAGCCCCATCACCTAACACGCCACCACGTGAAACCCCATCACCTCACACACCACCACACCAAGCACCATCACCTAACACGCCACCACGCCAAACCCCATCACCTCACACACCAACACACCAACACACCAAGCACCATCACCTAACACGCCACCACAACACCACGCGAAACTACATCACCTCACACACCACCACACAAAGCCCCATCACCTAACACGCCACCACGCCAAACCCCATCACCTATTACGCCACCACGCAGAACTCCATCACCTCACACACCACCACACCAAGGCCCATCACCTAACACGCCACCACATCCAACTCCATCACCTAACACGCCACCACATCCAACCCCATCAACTAACACGCCACCACATTCAACCCCATCACCTCACACGCCACCACACCAGGCACCATCAACTAACACGCCACCACATCCAACCCCATCACCTAACACGCCACCACATCCAACCCCATCAACTATCACGCCACCACATCCAACCCCTTCACCAAACACGCCACCACATCCAACCCCATCAACTATCACGCCACCACATCCAACCCCATCAACTATCACGCCACCACATCCAACCCCTACACCTAACACGCCACCACATCCAACCCCATCAACTAACACGCCACCACATCCAACTTCATCAACTAACACGCCACCACATCCAACCCCATCAACTAACACGCCACCACATCCAACCCCATCAACTATCACGCCACCACATCCAACCCCTTCACCTAACACGCCACCACATCCAACCCCATCAACTATCACGCCACCACATCCAACCCCTTCACCTAACACGCCACCACATCCAACCCCATCAACTATCACGCCACCACATCCAACCCCTTCACCTAACACGCCACCACATCCAACCCCATCAACTAACACGCCACCACATCCAACCCCACTAACTATCACGCCACCACATCCAACCCCATCACCTAACACGCCACCACATCCAACCCCATCAACTATCACGCCACCACATCCAACCCCATCAACTATCACGCCACCACATCCAACCCTTTCACCTAACACGCCACCACATCCAACCCCATCAACTAACACGCTAACACATCCAACCCCATCACCTAACACGCCACCACACCAAGCACCATCAACTAACACGCCACCACATCCAACCCCACCAACTGACACGCTACTACATCCAACCCCATCAACTAACACGCCACCACATCCAACCCCATCAACTAACACACCACTAGTCTTATTTTAATCATTCAATAAGAATTCACCTCTCCTTCTAACATAAGTTTTTACCTTTGCTCGAAGGAACGAACCCCGTTAACGTCTGAGTGACAGCGCGGTGTATATTCTCACATGAACTCGAATTATTAAGAAGTAATCAAACTCGTGTAAGGTCGTATTCCAAGATGACTTCCATTCATCAAACGATTGTTTCTGTAAAATATTTCAAATTCATTTTAGTTTGGAGTGAATCTGGTGATTGCAGATCATTCCCTACAGTGAGGCACCACGGTCACTGGGCAACTAAGTCACACATCGATTCAACTGTGTACTGTCTGGAGTCGGGGTGGAACTAGGGGGAATCAAAGTGTGCAATTTCTCCACTGTGGGACATGTACTGTCAAACGGGTGGGGTTGCAATGAGACCAGGGCGTGACAGGCCTATAACATAGCGAGCGGTATGACAGGGCCACAATTCTTGACCACGAACGGTTTGAGGGCGGTAGTGTCATGGTGTTGGGCGGTATCGCACATGACAGGCGAACAATTTATTGTGTTATTGTGAATGGACATTGACTGGCCAGCGATACATTGACGACATTAAGCGTCCTGTCGTTGTTCCATTCGCTGTGGACTGCAAGATCACAAGGCCACCCCACATCCGCGTGCCCAGGTCGTCACCAGGTTATCTCCGACAAGAAGGCATACCCGCTAAGTCCCCTGTCGTGTCCCAAATTAATCATTTGTTGGTGTTTTTGGATGGAGAGTGTACGCCAGAGACCCACCACCACCCAGTTTGAGGTAGCTCTCCAGGCGGAATAGCAGGCAATACCCAGGGCCACCACACGAACGTTAATCAACAATATGCCATCAAGGTATTGTGCATGTATCGCCCAACTTTGTGGACACAGATACTAGATGACTACAATCGGCATTGCTTCGGGCTTTCCTCCCACGTTAAGCTGAGACGCCGTGACATAACTTTATATGTATCGCCAAACATGGTGGACACACCTGATAGTGATCTACACGCCCAAAATTTATTTTACAGACATTTATCGTCATTACACCTTCACTATCATTGCATCAACTACCTTGTGTTTTGTCGGTAGTATATTTATTGTCCTTCGACAGTAGACTCAATGGAAAATCGGCTGTTGCATGTGAATAGCTCGTTCCACTTAGTCGACTCCATCCATGAATAGATGGACAATAGAAAGCCATAACAAAAACCACCATCTCGACCTCTGTAATGTTGATGGAAAGCAACACAAATGGTGGAAGTAGATGATAGTGGTACTTTATTCATTCCTATACAGTATATCAACACTCAGTCTGATATCCATTAAGTAACCAGGGTACGGAGAGACCATGTTCAAACTGGAAAGGCAGATTTGCTTGCAAAACCAAAAAGATACAGTAACCCGAGTATTTATTTTACCAAAAAACTTCAAGGATGGATAAGCAAAATATGACGACTTTTAACTGGCTCTTAATGCTTGAAATCACACGTGCCTGGACGGATGTTTTTCAAACATTACATTTAACTGGAAGGAAAACGGTCGTGCCGATAAAGGCCATGGTTCCGTGTCTAGTAGTCCTTCCCTTCTTGCTGTTCATCCTGGGTGGAATCAATACCGACCTCCTCGTAGTCCTTCTCCAGGGCTGCCAAGTCCTCACGGGCCTCGGAGAACTCTCCCTTCTCTATACTCTCACCCATATACCAGTGGACGAAGGCACGCTTGGCGTACATCAGGTCGAGACGAGCCCAGGCCTCGGCGATGGCAGTGGTGTTTGCCAACATGCAGGCGGCTCTCTGTACCTTGGCCAGGTCACCACCGGCGACAACAGTTGACGGTTGGTCGTTGATACCGACTTTGAAACCAGTGGGAGACCGGTCGACGAACTGGATGGTTCTCTTGGTCTTGATTGTGGCGATGGCAGCATTGATATCTTTTGGTACGACATCACCACGGTGACTTCAGCGACAGTCAGCTGCTCGTGGTAGGCCTTCTCCTCGGACATGACTGAGGCGTAGTTGGCCAGAGGGAAGTGGATATGTGGGTAGGGCACCAAAGTGGTCTGAAACTCCGTCAGATCAACGTTCAGGGTACCGTCAAATCGGAGAGAGGCAGTGATTGAGCTGACGATCTGACCAATCAGACGGTTCAGGTTGGTATAGGTTGGTCTTGCAATGTCAAGGTTACGTCTGCAGATATCGTAAATAGCCTCGTTGGCGACCATGAAGGCGACATCAGAGTGCTCCAGGGTGGTGTGGGTAGTCAAGAGGGAGTTGTAGGGCTCCACGACAGCAGTAGAGACCTGAGGAGCTGGATAGATAGCAAACTCTGGCTTGGATTTCTTGCTGTAGTTAACGCTGAGGCGCTCAAGAAGCAGTGAAGTGAAGCCGGAGCCAGTGCCACCACCTAAGCTGTGGAAAATGAGAAAGCCCTGGAGTCCAGTGCACTGGTCAGCTAGTTTCCTGATTCGGTCGTAAATAGCCTCGTTTGTGACCATGAAGGCAACATCTGAGGCATCAACTGCGTCGTGGGTAGTCAGTACTCTTCCTCA